AGGAGGTCCAAGCTGACTGAAGGGAAAAGGACAGGCCTTTGGGGAGATCCCACCTCCATCCTGGTCCCTCCCTGGAGAGAAGCCTACTCATGTCCCATGTCCCATGTCCCATGTTGTCCCATGTCCTCTTCAGGCGGTGAATGGGGACACTCTGCAGAGCCGCGAGGGTGGCATGCAGGGAGGAGTAGTTCCCCCCAGGATCTGACAGGCCTGGGGGAGGGAAGAGAAGGAGCTGTCAGTGGGAGAGCAGAAGCCCTAGATGCTCGAGAGCTTCAGTGCCCCCATCAGTTTATGGCTCCCCCCCACCCCGGATGAAGCTGATGTCCAGGTAGCTGCAGAAGGGCACAGGTCAGCCCGAAAGAGCAACACTGCTGGCGAGAGGGAGGATGTTCCCTCACTGCAAAGAAGAAGTCACGTAGGAACTGAGCGTCCCAAAGTTGAGCCATGCGAGTGAAGGTCAGCATGCCCCTGGGCAAGAAGAGCCTAGGGACCACAGGTCTTCTGAGCCTGTGGTTGTGACTGACGCTGGACTAGCAGAGGATTTTCCCCCAAGTTAGCACCCATCATTCGGGGAACCATTCGACTCAGAGTCTGAGTTTCTGGGCGCATGTTGGCCTTGCCACTGCCTCCATTCCTGGCACTGTGAGCCTCGATGGATGGCAGCCCCAACCATCTGGGCTTGATTTTTGCTTCAGAGTGAGAGAAGCAAAAGGGAACAAGGGAGAAGTGAAACATGAGGAAAGTAACTGGGAAGTGCGAAACTGTTTGCGTGACATTGAGAGAAACACGAGGCATGCTATTTCATCACGTTGAGTACATTTCGTGGCTCAGAAGCCACTCACCTACCACCCAGAGCTTGCAGAGTGATGCCTACACCACAGGTCAGGATCCCTGGGAGCCTCTGTGAAGGCTGCTCCCCTCATAGACCAGAACGAGGGAAAGAGGTCTCATTCTAAATCTATGTAGGAAACAACTGAACCGTTTCACTACCGGGGATGACAAAGTCTGCATCTTCATGCATTTCCACTCCATCGTGGGGCCCCATTATAATGATGCCAAGAGGGAAAGGGACAGTTCCAAAACGACACAAAGCCGGGACCCAGGCCTCCTCGGAGTGTTCCTCCAGGCCAAGTTCCACCCCTTCCTGCAATTCATCCAGCCTTCTATGTGTGCCTCTGATTCCCATGATACCATCGCACACATATCACAAATACGATCTACATACACCCCAAGATGTCCCAAGGAAGTAGATTCTCCCTGATCCCCACTCTGCAGGTTGGGAATGTGGGCACTAGGTGAGACACAGAATGACTGAGGACACAGAAGTGGGAAAGGAAAGAGAACAAAGGTTTGACTTCAGCTCTGTCTTCTGAAAGGGAGGACCCAAGTGCCATTTCCAGGGAATGGTGCCTCTGGCATTTTTCGCTCATTATGTACAGTCCCGGGGAAGAGAGGTCAAGAGTCAACTGAAGGGACTGCGGAGAGGTGTGACTGAACGAAGGGCCCCAGGTATTAGAATCTTGAAAGGGTGACCTCACATCCTTCGTGATAGGCCCCAACTGAACTTAGAACTCTGGTAGCCAGGCACCCACTTTCAAAGGGCAACCTGCTCTCCAGCGCACTTGAGTGGAGACCTTCGACAGAACACGATGTTCAGTTGTTGTCTTCCTACTTCCAGGGGCGCTGGGCCCAGGGGAACCCAGAGCTGGAGACATTACTGCAGTTGCAGACAGCGCTTCAGCCCTCTTTTCCGAAGCTTCTGGTCATGGGGTGGGAGACACCAACAGGTAACACAAGGCAGCTCTGGGCAGCCCACTGGAGAGACAGCAACAACTGTGGTCCCACCTCAGCGGGCCCACACCACTTGCCCCTTAGTGTGTGGGCGTGTGTGTGTGTGTGTGTGTGTGTGTGTGTGTGTGTGTGTGTTTGTGGAAGTGGGGACAGGGGATGAGGGACATGCCCTTCCTGGGCAGAAGTAGGCTGCCTGGTGTTGGAGGTTGGACCCATCTGTCATGTTCATACCCCGGGTCATAGCAGGCAGGATGAGAAGGTGAGGGCTGACACAATGATAAGACTCATGGTAGTCATGAGCCTTAGAGTGTCTTCTGGCTACCTCCTTGCTCGATGTCTTTTCAGCCATCCCTCTAAGCCTGAAGTGGAGAACACGATGTCTAATGGGGGTGTCCCCTTGTGGCAATGTCCCGGGAGGCTGCTAATGGCTCTTGTCCCTGTGGCTATGGGGCACTACATTTTCAGAGCTGCACCCCAGAGATTGTGAATGAGCTGGATCGGGACTCCAACAACTCCAACTCGCTGGACAAGGGTCAGGTGTCCCAGGCCACCCAGGATCAGTGCTGCTCTGAGGTGAGAATGGGAAGAGGCTTCTCCATACCCAGGGCCCCCGCGCAACTATGGGGACAAACCTGGGGCCTTCCCATAGTGTTTCCATTTGAGTATCCCACAGGCCCCTCCCCAAAGTAACCGAAACCTCTGCACATCTGCCCCCAGCTATGGGTAAGGAAGGAAGACACTCTTCACCTACGTGGGACTGGTAGAAAATAGAGTGAATGTTTTCCATGGTTTGGAGGGTGGTTGTTTTCTTTCCTTTGGCCTTGTGTTGCTCTTCATGAAGCCATGAGTATCTTTGCCTTTTCGCACTGGTTTTATGATTTTCCCTACTCCTGTCAGCTAACCTATGGAGAACCCAGCTTCTGGAGAACTGGCCCATGCCCTTCTAAATCCTCATACCAGATGGGGTGATTGAACCTACGAAAGGGACAGTGGGATCAAGCCATTCTATAGGTCTTTCTGGAACGTATCATCTCTCAGAACACATTGAATCCTAGGAGGTCCACCAGCTCACAGGCTATTTCCCTCTAGGTCTTCACAGTCCCCCATAAAGGAGGTGGTCTGCTACAGTGACTCAGTCTTGCAAGGCTGCTGGAACTTGACATGACTCAATTTGGTTGCCCTTCCAGCAATGCTGCAAGGAACAGGCACCTTAAGGGTCCTCACAGGTGATTTGGGTCGCTCCATCTGCCAGAACGTAGACCCAAAGATTGGGTGGAATGCCTCTGATGCCTCCTGGCCCGGGTAGCTGGCTCTGTCTTTTCAGAGCTCCACCCAGGACATCTGGCATGAACTGCTGCAAGGCTTCAGCTACTCCATCTCCCTTGGCAAGCAGCAGGGACCTCAGGCCGCCAACAACATCCAGTGCTGGTCTGGGGTGAGAACAGGTCCAGGTTCATGGCCAGTCTCAGGACCCAGAGATGATCAGGGCAAGCCCGGAACCCAGACTAGCCACAACTGGCTGCCCTGGGGCCTGCCAAGGAAGGTGGTTTTCCCCTGAACCTTTCTGCCCCTGACAGCAACAGGCCAAGCCTCAGCAGCAGAGGTGAAATGCCATGCAGCCCATGCTTTGGACAGATCTTGGGCCCAATGCTGATGATCTTGAGCAGCCTTGGAGATTCTCAGATACTCTTTTCTCCTCTCGACAGTAGGGCTCCTTTCTCATGACTCCAAGGCATACATACAGCTCTTCATACAGGCTATGAAGAGACAGACAAGCCTTTGTTGTCCAGCTAACAGCACGTGTTGAAGGCACCAGTACATTTAAGCCTAGATGGTCCTTTGGAAGCCTACAAGTGGTTGGTTTTAGGTTTTCAGCCTAGAACGTTTTTTGTGGGTGGGCACTCAAGTCCCTCGTCTTGCACAAGTTCCCAAAGGGATGGGAGGATGCAGTCTGAGCTCCAGACCCTGCTCTTCCTGCTGGTTGACGGCATTGAAGCTAACTATGTTGCCCCGCCACCCACCCCCTTGTCTTCCTGTTGGAAAAGGAATCATCCCTGACTCTGGATGAGGCCTGCACGATACTGGCACTCAGAGAAGGGGCAGTGAAGAATTGTGGACATTCCCTGCTCCTATCCTTCCCGGAAAGAAGCCTCTCCAACTTCGCAACAATGTGCTCCATCTATCAGATGTTCACGTCAGCCCAGCAGGTCCTGGATCAGCAGTTCACTAGGTGAGTGCCCACCCTATAGCCAGCACAAGGGGGAGTCTTCTGTCTACTAGTTGTAAGTCTTGGGAATATCACTGCCCCTCTCTGACCTTCCCTTTCCTCTCCTGAAAAGTAGGGGTGCTAAGAGGATGAACCTCATAGGGCGACTGGAGGAAGTCATAGGAGGAAACATGGCACACACTTCTCTGCGGCCCAACTCAGTAGAAAGGGCTGCTGAACATGCTGGCCATCTTCCTGGTTAACATTTCTCTCTCCAGGGAAGATGCGTTAAGGCTCAGCCCTCACAGGCCTGTGGTCCTTCTGGGTCTACAGAAAGGAAATGGAAAGATGGCAGGTTTTCTACTTGCAAAGGACTTCTGGCATTCCATCTAGTTGGTCCTGGTTGTGGTCCTTTATGTGCCCAGATCAAGGGGACACTGGGAGCAGCCCAAGGGCCACTCAGGATTTGCAAAGTCTTGTTTGGGATGATTTCATTTAGTCATGGATCTTAGGCACCTAGGAATGCAGGCACTCTCTAGTCACCAAAAGCAGTGAATGGGTAAAGTACAGACAATGTCTGGGTCTCAATGCTCGTCCGAGGGTCAGATAGGCACTCTCCACATCTTAAGCACGCATGTCTAGCGTTCATCAGATGGGGCATCTCTGTGATCTACTCTAGGGATGAATGGATCCACCTCTATTGGGACCATGAGGATGCATTCTATGATCAAGGAACAACAGGATAGGTCTTTGGGTGCCATAGGAGGGTCTGCTGCATCCACGGAGCTGGGTGGGAGGCGACAGGGTTTGTTACTGGCGAAGGACGTTCAGAACCATGGATCTCCCAGAAGTCTTCCATGGAAGAGCTTAATGGGGCGGCTTCCTCTGAAGAAGCCAATGAGTCCAAGAGAGGTGTGGACGGGATGCCAAGCTCTCTGGGAAGCAGAGCCCATTGTGGGCTGAGTTGGTGCCTTCAACAGCCATCCCTTGGATTGTCCTTTATTGCTCTGTGTGCTGCTATCCATATCCACCTCTGCTGACCACCACAAGTGGGGCCAAGGACAGAAGGTGTAGGGACCAGACCACTCACCCATCGGCCTACAACCAAAGCCCAGATATTGGTCTGCATGGAGGATGCATGACTGAGGGACCAAAGGACAGACCTATGAGAGGTCCCTCATCCCACCTGGTCAACAGTCAGCAAGGACAGCTCCAGAGCGGTTGCAAGTGGGCTGGGGCCATTCCGTGGGACCCACACCAAAAGAATGGTGCTGTGGGAGTAGCGTGGGGAAGGAAAGGCCAGGTCTCTGACTCTGCTCCACATATGACTTTCCCCAGCACTC